ACAGTAGGGGGCACAGATGGTGCATCAGCCAGTCATCTCAGTCACTCGATCCGTGGCACCTGGGTCTGCCCCGTGACCTCCTGCCAGCGGGCGTTCGACACTTCACGTGGCCTCAGGGTGCACATAGCCTGGCACAAGCGTCGTGGTGACGTCACCGCCACTTAGTGGCGAATGGCGGTTGTTGTTGTTGTTGTGTGTGTATGTGTGTATGTATGTGTGTATGTGTGTATGTATGTGTGTGTATGTGTGTATTATGTGTGTGTATGTGTGTCTGTATGTGTGTGTATGTGTGTGTGTATGTGTGTATGTATGTGTGTATGTGTGTATGTATGTGTGTGTATGTATGTGTGTGCATGCGCGTACACTTTGCCACGCTTTGACACCTCGGCGTGTTCGTGACCAGCGGAGGAATGTCCATCTGGTCACAGCATGCAAGCGGGAGACTTGTGCACGGGGTGCGGTCAAGTGCGACGGGCGACCCTTATCGGTCGACCGCGTCGCCTGATGAAGCCGGTTGTAATTACTGGCGAAACGTCGTACTCGGATTGTAAATGTTGTGGCTGGGCTCTCCAACACACCGGTTAGTGCTGTAGTAGTGACGAATTGGCCACGTTCTGTTTACGTGACAACCCTTACTAGTTGGCTGTGTCGCGTGGTGGCGGAGTTTAACGACACATTTATATATTTACGTGGATGATATCGGTCGCGAAAGCCGCCTACGCGTGATTTGTGCTGACAGATCTGCTAATTGCCGCAGTCGGGGGGAGAAGCTGGAGCGTGCAACGAAGAAGCGAGAGGAGTGGGGGGGGGGGCCCTGACCATCGGCCCCCAAACCAAAACAAAGGACTCCCTACGGCATGATGTGTCGTCAAGACCACCACAATCACCACCACTCCATCCTGTCGGCTCCGCGTGAGTGATGGGGCAGTTGTGGAGTGGAGGTGTGGAGGGGGGGGGTCACATTACCTCGTGCCCAGCTCGTGGTCTTGTCACAGCAGAGGTCTCGCTTCGAATCAGTTCAGTTGATTTATTTCATTGATTAGGTATAGCCCTATAGTTGAGCGGCATTATCCTTTAATCGGCTGTTCGAACTACCTGGTCAGCTATTTGGAAGCTGCCTGCCCCGTCACGCCGTACAATAACTAAAACGACAATTTTTTTTTGACCAGGTAAGGGCCCACCACTTACCTCTGGGTAGCTACTTTGTTTTGCTTTGTTTCAGAAAGCGACTTGGCAACAAATGATAGCTCAACGAAATGGATTAATTATGACGTGGGTATTCATATAGCAGCCACATACTCTGAACGCGTGGTGATTTTTTTTTACGTCGCGGAGGGAAAACCGGAGGCTCCGGAGAGAAATCCACACGACCACGGGGAGAGAAAGAGACGCCGCAAACTCCAAATATACAGCAGCAGCAGCAGGCGTCAGGATTGGGATCGAACCCACGACGTCCTGTATACCAGGCGAGGTAGTAAACATCTCCTAGCCACCGTGATGATTATGAGAGAGAGACACCGCAAACTCCAAATATACAGCAGCAGCAGGCGTCAGGATTGGGATCGAACCCACGACCTCCTGCATACCAGGCGAGGTAGTTAACATCTCCTAGCCACCGTGATGACGATGATGAGAGAGAAACGCAAACTCCAGACATACAGCAGCAGCGCCAGGCGTCAGGGTTGGGATCGAACCCACGAGCTCCTGCACACCAACCGAGGTAGTTAACATCTCCTAGCCACCGTGATGATGATGATTAGAGAGAGACACGCAAACTCCAAATATACAGCAGCAGGCGTCAGGGTCGGGATCGAACCCACGACTTCCTATACACCAGGCGAGGTAGTTAACATCTCCTAGCCACCGTGATGATGATGATGAGAGAGAGACACGCAAACTCCAAAAATACAGCAGCAGCGCCAGGCGTCAGGGTTGGGATCGAACCCACGACCTCCTGCACACCAGGCGAGGTAGTTAACATCTCCTAGCCACCGTGATGATGATGATTAGAGAGAGACACGCAAACTCCAAATATACAGCAGCAGGCGTCAGGGTCGGGATCTAACCCACAACTTCCTGTATACCAGGCGAGGTAGTTAACATCTCCTAGCCACCGTGATGATGATGATGAGAGAGAGACACGCAAACTCCAAATATACAGCAGCAGCAGGCGTCAGAGTTGGGATTGAACCCACGACCTCCTGTATACCAGGCGAGGTAGTTACCATCTCCTAGCCACCGTGATGATGATTCGAGAGAGACACGCAAACTCCAAATATACAGCAGCAGGCGTCAGGGTCGGGATCGAACCCACGACCTCCTGTACACCAGGCGAGGTCATTAACATCTCCTAGCTACCGTGATGATGATTAGAGAGAGACACGCAAACTCCAAATATACAGCAGCAGGCGTCAGGGTCGGGATCGTACCCACAACCTCCTGTAGACCAGGCGAGGTAGTTAACATCTCCTAGCCACCGTGATGATGATGATTAGAGAGAGACACGCAAACTCCAAATATACAGCAGCAGCAGGCGTCAGGGTTTGGATCGAACCCACGACCTCCTGTACACCAGGCGAGGTAGTTAATATCTCGTAGCCACCGTGATGATGATGAGAGAGAGACACGCAAACTCCAAATATGCAGCAGCAGGCGTCAGGGTCGGGATCGAACCCACGACCTCCTACATACCAGGTGAGGTAGTTAACATCTCCTAGCCACCGTGATGATGAGAGAGAGACACGCAAACTCCAAATATACAGCAGCAGCAGCAGGCGTCAGGGTTGGGATTGAACCCACGACCTCATGTATACCAAGCGAGGTAGTTAACATCTCCTAGCCACCGTGATGATGATGATGATTGGAGAGAGACACGCAAACTCCAAATATACAGCAGCAGGCGTCAGGGTCGGGATCGAACCCACGACTTCATGTACACCAGGCGAGGTAGTTAACATCTCCTAGCCACCGTGATGATGATGATGAGAGAGAGACACGCAAATTCCAAAAATACAGCAGCAGCGCCAGGCGTCAGGGTTGGGATCGAACCCACGACCTCCTGCACACCAGGCGAGGTAGTTAACATCTCCTAGCCACCGTGATGATGAAGATTAGAGAGAGACACGCAAACTCCAAATATACAGCAGCAGGCGTCAGGGTCGGCATCTAACCCACAACTTCCTGTATACCAGGCGAGGTAGTTAACATCTCCTAGCCACCGTGATGATGATGAGAGAGAGACACGCAAACTCCAAATATACAGCAGCAGGCGTCAGGGTCGGGATCGAACCCACGACTTCCTGTACACCAGACGAGGTCATTAACGTCTCCTAGCTACCGTGATGATGATTAGAGAGAGACACGCAAACTCCAAATATACAGCAGCAGCAGGCGTCAGGGTCGGGATCGAACCCACAACCTCCTGTAGACCAGGCGAGGTAGTTAACATCTCCTAGCCACCGTGATGATGATAATGAGAGAGACACGCAAACTCCAAATATACAGCAGCAGCAGGCGTCAGGGTTTGGATCGAACCCACGACCTCCTGTACACCAGGCGAGGTAGTTAACATCTCCTAGCCACCGTGATGATGATGAGAGAGAGACACGCAAACTCCAAATATGCAGCAGCAGGCGTCAGGGTCGGGATCGAACCCACGACCTCCTACATACCAGGTGAGGTAGTTAATATCTCCTAGCCACCGTGATGATGAGAGAGAGACACGCAAACTCCAAATATACAGCAGCAGCAGCAGGCGTCAGGGTTGGGATTGAACCCACGACCTCATGTATACCAAGCGAGGTAGTTAACATCTCCTAGCCACCGTGATGATGATGATGATGATGAGAGAGAGACACGCAAACTCCAAATATACAGCAGCAGGCGTCAGGGTCGGGATCGAACCCACGACCTCCTGCACACCAGGCGAGGTAGTTAATATCTCGTAGCCACCATGATGATGATGAGAGAGAGACACGCAAACTCCAAATATGCAGCAGCAGGCGTCAGGGTCGGGATCGAACCCACGACCTCCTACATACCAGGTGAGGTAGTTAACATCTCCTAGCCACCGTGATGATGAGAGAGAGACACGCAAACTCCAAATATACAGCAGCAGCAGCAGGCGTCAGGGTTGGGATTGAACCCACGACCTCATGTATACCAAGCGAGGTAGTTAACATCTCCTAGCCACCGTGATGATGATGATGAGAGAGAGACACGCAAACTCCAAATATACAGCAGCAGGCGTCAGGGTCGGGATCGAACCCACGACCTCCTGTACACCAGGCGAGGTAGTTAATATCTCGTAGCCACCATGATGATGATGATGATGAGAGAGACACGCAAACTCCAAATATGCAGCAGCAGGCGTCAGGGTCGGGATCGAACCCACGACCTCCTACATACCAGGTGAGGTAGTTAACATCTCCTAGCCACCGTGATGATGAGAGAGAGACACGCAAACTCCAAATATACAGCAGCAGCAGCAGGCGTCAGGGTTGGGATTGAACCCACGACCTCATGTATACCAAGCGAGGTAGTTAACATCTCCTAGCCACCGTGATGATGATGATGATGAGAGAGAGACACGCAAACTCCAAATATACAGCAGCAGGCGTCAGGGTCGGGATCGAACCCACGACCTCCTGCACACCAGGCGAGGTAGTTAACATCTCCTAGCCGCCGTGATGATGATTCGAGAGAGACACGCAAACTCCAAATATACAGCAGCAGGCGTCAGGGTCGGGATCGAACCCAGGACCTCCTGTATACCAGGCAAGGTAGTTAACAACTCCAATCACAGCTGCGAATAATTGAACAGTTACTGAGCCTTCCCTACGTCGACTCAGCCTTAAATTAGTGTCTGATGCGGTGTATCAAATATCAGCCCTGGGGAGACAAATTAGTGTCTGATGCGGTGTATAAAATATCAGCCCTGGGGAGACAAATGCGGCCGGGCGTTGCGTTGGCAACACCACCTTCACATGTGCTTGCCTCACCTTCATATGTGCTTGCCCCAACAGACTCAGTCGGCTATACGGGGGGGTTTTGTCTTTGTATGCGTCTGTAAGTGGTTTTCGGAGATTTGTGTTTTTTTATATTTTCCGTTCCCAGACCTTCAAAGATCGGAAAAATGTGTGTCTAGGTGTGTGTATATGTGTAAGTATGTACGTAGTGTGTCTGTGTGTGTCTGTGTGTCTGTGTGTGTGTATATGTGTAAGTGTGTACGTAGTGTGTCTGTGTGTGTCTGTGTGTATGTGTGTGTGTATATGTGTAAGTGTGTACGTAGTGTGTCTGTGTGTGTGTCTGTGTGTGTAATGTGTAAGTGTGTACGTAGTGTGTCTGTGTGTATATGTGTAAGTGTGTACGTAGTGTGTCTGTGTGTGTATGTGTGTAAGTGTGTACGTAGTGTGTGTTTGTGTAAGTGTGTACGTAGTGTGTCTGTCTGTGTGTATATGTGTGTGTACGTAGTGTGTCTGTGTGTGAGTGATGCGAGTCTGTGTGTGTGATGCGAATCTGTGTGTGTGCGCGTGTGATGTGTGTGTGTGTGATGCGTGTGTGAGTGTGATGCGTGTGTGTGATGCGTGTGTGAGTGATGCGTGTGTGTGTGTGATATGTGTGTGTGATGCGTGTGTGTGAGTGATGTGTGTGTGTGTGATACGTGTGTGTTAGTGATGTGTGTGTGATACGTGCGTGTTAGTGATGTGAGTCTGTGTGAGTCGGAATGCGGCCACGTGGCCCGCGCACTGCGTAGCTCTCTCGGCGTCTGTCACCCCTCTCTTGAAGGGACTCCGCCCACACCTCGCCAACTTACTGTCGTACTCTACTCCCATGCCCCCCCCTCCCCCCCCACAAGTTGTTGTTGTTGTTGTCCTCTGTCACCGGCTTACCATTGCGAAGGATCGCTCAAACAAACTTCCCCATCAAACAAGATCCCCTCTATAGCCATTAACATACTCTGGGGTGGGGGGGGGGCAGTGCTGTTAGCGAGCACCTATTAAGGCCAGGAAGGCACTCGAGGGGAGTGGGTGGCCAACACCACGCCCATCCGCCTTTGTCTCCCCGGTGGCGATGTTTTTTTTTTCACCGCACAATGGCTGAGTCAATTTAGGTGGAGTCCCAGGATCGGTTCAGATCATCGTCTGTTCAGGGGCGACACGGGGGGTATCTTCGTCTTTGTGCACTCATTACATAATTCTCTGGAATGGGGCCCGCTGTTTGAGTCGAGCTGTGTTGTTCTTTTTTTATTTCTCCCGAAGGAAAAGTTCGCAACGTCCATCAACTCGTGCCCCCCAATTCGCACTAGCCCGCTCATAACGAGTAATTGCCCCCCGCGGTAGTGTCAATTAGTGAGCATGGCAACAGTTGCTGTGCAGACATCCGCGGAAGCTCTCACTCATACAGCCAGCGTGCCTCGGAAGTTTAGAAATCCGCGGAAGCACTTGCGAGTGAGCACGCGAAGGCTGTGCAGACATCCGCGGAAGCACTTGCGTTATCCATTCTCTTAATATAAACTAAAGCACAGCAACCCCGCCGGTAGAAATCCGAGGAAGGGATAGCATTTTTCCTCCGCCTTACAACGTGCAAGCTTCGGACTGGTAGAGATCCGTGGAAGCACCTACAGGGGTCCGTTACCGCCAGATACGACAATCTTAATTCGCCACAATACAACTAATACCAACTGCTAAGCAGGCCTCACTGAGTCTCGAGCATATTTTAAAAAGAGCTTTATAGCTCATCGGATTTTACCCAGTGTACATCAATATTCTGCGACTGTATTTTGCGGGAGGGTCCTTGCCTGCTACTGCTGATGTTTGACCAATTCCATAATTAGCAGCAGCAGCACAATGAGCACGGTTGTTCTTTTTACGCATGCTGAACTTCTTTCGCATCGTACGTAGCCCACCGTGCTAATTGGAGGCGGGCAGCGCTCAAGTGTCCACACAGACGGATCTATGAATTTACTTCCGGCCACCTCGCAGCCAAGCCGGTGGTGGTGGTGGTGAGATCCTTGCGGGGAGCGGTGGCGCAGCGGTTAGCGTGCTGCGCTTTCAAACCCTGCGGCCCCGAGTTCGCTTCCCGCTCACGGCCACCAACAACGCCGGTGACGATTATCTGAACCGGTTTTGGGCATCCCCCTGGGTCGACTCAGCCTCAAACGAGTACCCGGCGCGATGTGTAAACATCGCCACTGGGGAGACAAAGGCGGCCGGGTGTGGTGCTGGCCACCCACCCCCCCCCCCCCAACGTGTGCCGTATACTACTGGCAGATGGAATGCTGGCGGGTGGTGCCGCGTAACAAACTTGTGGCGCACAGGGACAGCTGCCACTGGGAGGGCCCCCTTGGGATAGAGCGGTCGAGCATTGGGCATGTTTGGGATGTCCTGTAAGGCGCTGTGAGTTGTTCGGGCATTTAAGCAATTTGGCCCGATAGTCCTCAACGAAACGTGGCTGTCGCCTGATGAAGCTAGTTATAATTACTGGCGAAACGTCGTACTTGGATTGTAAATGTTTGTGGCTTGTCTCTCCAACACACCGATGTGGTGCTGTACTAGTGACGAATTGGCCACGTTCTGTTTACGTGACAACCCTTACTAGTTGGCTGTGTCGGGTGGTGGCGGGTTTAACGACACATTTATATATTTACGAGATCTAACAAAAAAACCCTGTATTGTGGATGGTCGCGAAAGCCTACGACGTGTTACACTGAGATGTTAACTTCCTCGCCTGGTATACAGGAGGCTCGTGGGTTCGACCCCCGACCCTGACGCCCGCTGCTGTATATTTGGAGTTTGTGTGTTCTCCACCCCCCGTGATTGCGTGGGGTTTCCTCCGGGTCTTCCACGTTTAGAATCAACATCACGCGTTTAGGGTATTTGCCTGCTGTAAATGTCCACATGATGATAAGCCACTTCGTTGCGCTATCATTTGTGGGATATATATTTGTTCTGTTCCTGGCCTTTCCTTGGTAAAAAAAAAAAACTTTAACAAAAATAAGCAAAGTCAAAACTAGAAAAGCGTACGTCGTTCAGAATATAGGTTTAGTTCAGCTCGATGTAATATGAGAGAGGGTCCCGAAATCCCGTGATGTGGTCGACAGACGGAGCGAATTGTCCACAACCCTCCACAGAGAGCCATCAGTGGTATTAATCAACCCCATACCACTACAGTGGAGGAGTCCACGTGTCAGCACGCAGGCCGATGCCCCAACACTTACACAAGCCATGTGTTGTCATAGAAATCCGCGGAGGTTCCTCCACATCCCTCCCCCCCCCCCCCCCCTCGATGCCGTTGTGCCCCACTGACTGTGCCAAGCTAGGTGCGCCTAGCTTGAGGTCGCGTAGGCGTGGAGAAGACTGTCTCGATGCTGGTTGAAATCCGTTAACTGGTGGTGACCACGGGCATTGATCCAGCAGTGGATTGATCATGGTTTTTGATGATGGCGATGACTGGAAATGGATTGGCAGGTTTATCATCGCGTCAACGTGGTGTGTTGTTTTTATCCGCCACGGCGCTCTGCTCGTTGTTGTGAGCCGTGGGTGGAGACGTGGAGACGTCCTCTTCAGCTCGGATTCATCCTTCCAGACGGCGAGTGAGTGCGTGGTGTGGTCAGAATCACGCCCGACCGCCTTTGTCTCCCCATTGGCGATGTGTTTTTTTATACACCGCATTGGGTATTAATTTGAGGCTGAGTCGACCTAGGGGAGGCGCGGGACCAGTTCAGATAATCGTTGCCGGGTTCATAGCGCAGCGTAGCGCTAACCGCTACACTACACGCACACACACAGCGTACACACACACAGCGTACACACACACACAGCGTGTGTGTACACACACACAGCGTACACACACAGCGTGTGTACACGCGTAAGGGGAGCGGTAGTGTAGCGGTTAGCGCTACGCTGCGTTACGAACTCGAGTTCTATTCCCGCTCGCGGCCAACACCCAGTGACGATTGTCTGAACCGCTACTGGGCCTCCCCTAGGTCGACTCAGCTATCAAACGAGTACCTGGTGCGATGAATAGATATCGCCACTGGGGAGACAAAGGCGATCGGGCCGGGTGCTGGCCACCCACCCCCTCGTGTGCCGTGCCGGCCTTCATAGGGTGCTGCTCGCTAAAACCACTTGCCCCCAAACATCCTGCCAAGGCTATACGGGCGGTCTTTGTCTTTGTGCGTGCGTAATAATTAAAAGGCTTTTTTTCCCCCTACTTCCTATGCCTCAACTGTTCCCTTCTCTCTCAGCCAGGACACCACCAACGCCCGCATTGTTTCCAGACTCGCACCGTGAACACAACTGCTGTGGGTGTTGGTGGACCCACGCCCAAAAGCGGCCTTTTGCCCGTGTCTGGGCAGTTCGCCGGTTTTGGTCCGAGCGAGCCTCGCGCTGCTGATGATGCATCGAATGTCGAAACCCACCCGGAGTTTTTGCCCGCGTTGAACCAATAGTTCAAGCGAAGCCTGCCCCGCCTATACGAGACGATGTCTAAACCGGTCCCAGGTTTTGCCCGCGTTGAACCAATGGTTCAAGCAAAGCCTGCCCCTTCTGATGAGACAGTGGATGTTTAGACCAGTCCAGAGATTGCTTGTGTTGAACCGATGCTGCTGAAATGATGCCACTTCCCAGAAGGCCGTGTGGCTAATGGGTTGCGTTAGAAACGCTTCTAGCGCGCAACTGATGTACCCGTAGTGGCTGCACCACGGGGAAGTTAGTTGAGTCCAGGATGTAATGCGTGGTGGGGGGGGGGGAGAGAAAGAGGAACGGGAGAGGGTAGAGAGAGAGGAGAAGGGAATGGGAAATCATGGGAGAGGGGTGGAGAAGGAACGGAGAAACGGGAGCAGAGGGGTGAGGAGAGATAGGGAGAGGATGGAGGAGGATCGACGCCGCTGCTGCTGCACGGAGTAGGATCGGCGTCTGTTTTCACAGCGGGTGGGGAGAGGGGAGGGGCTCAGAGTGGGTGTGGCCACAGGGAAGTCACGTGATGTACTGGAGGCTTGAGCTGCCTGAGCTATGCAGTTGATGTGACGCGCCCCCTGTTGTGTTTAAAAAAAAAAAATTCACGATTTCATCCGGTACCCTGAATTTGCTCTGCTTGGGTTCCCCCTCCGCTGTTGCTTGACTTGCTGCTGCCAAGCGCCGCCACTTCTCTGAGCCACATCGCATGGCGGTTTTGTGCGTGCCACCGGTGAGAGGGGGGCGGGGGTTTGCCAACCTAAGTGATTATCAAATACACGCGCTGCACGTGCC